GCTCTTTCTCTTCTCAGACTCATTCTGACCACAGGCTCTTGTGCGCTCCTGAAAAACACACAGCACATCCTCATCTGCATCTACACCCGCTCCACATCTACACACAGGTGCTCCACTCATGCAGTCTTGGTGTCTGCAGTACAGGGAGATTCACTCACATCTTGTGGACCTTCTGTCTGCAGACCAGCAGCACGATTAAGCCCACCATGGTGGCGATGAGGAAGAGTCCAGCGCTGACGCCCTCGATGACCCCGCTCAGCGGCTCTGGACACACACACACACACATTAAACAAACACACACCTTCAGCGAACGGTGTCAGTGTGTGTGAAGCCGTACCTGCATGGGTCAGCAGGGGTTTGGACAGGTACGTGTCGGTGTATAGCGGAGAGAGAAACTCCTCTCGATCCTCATCGTAGAGTTTGGTGAACGCTCGAACGCTGAGTCTGAAAACACACACAGGAGCAGAGCACGCTTCAGAGAGTATAGTGTGAGTGCACCCTTACTGTCCTTACAAATCTCTGCTTGGTTTGTGCAGTGTAGTTCTCTTCTGTAGTGTGCTGTGTGTTGAAAGTATTCATCAGTGTAAATGGGAATGTCTTCACGACGGAGTTTTCCTCCCTGATCTTCACTTTTTCATGTGTAGGCTATTAAAATACTTTCAAGGTTAATGTTTTGATGATGATGATGATGATGAGCTTTTATTTGTCACAACACTGTTACACGCAGTGAAGTTGGACCCCTCTGAGCATACACAAACATCATACACTTCAGGGGAAGACAGCTCAGTCGAGAGGTAGCATAGGACAATAGGAAACAAGACACTGGGGGAAAAGGAGGTACAAATACACTCCCAGACTGTCCCTCAAGCCCAGCTCTGCCCCCTGGCCGCAGCACCTGAGCCTCACCTCGTATGCAGTCCTGGGCTTTAGCGGTCCATCACAGAAGGCCGTCTGCTCCTGAGATCCTCCTGTGGATGTTTTCTGATCACAGCGTCCTCCCAGACTCTCCATCCCTGACCCCAGCTGGACCCTGAACTCCTGCGCCGGGCTCTGGCTCTCGTCACAGTGGCTGCGGAAGAAGCTGGTCTGATAGGCTTTGATGGAGCTGTTGGACCTGTAGTCCAGGTATGAGGGAAGAGGATGAACCTGCTGCGGCTGCTGGCGTTCACTGTCTGCATTTACACCACAGGAAGAGGATTCAGTTCAGTTGTGGGAGGAAACTAAAGCGCCTAAAGGGTCAGTTCAGCCTGAAATGAACACTCTTCAGGGCTTATATCAGAATATTGTCAACCTGTGAGAATACTCCTGTGTGCAGATAACACAGAGATGACCGTGATGTCATCAGCTTCTCCTCCTCAGTGTCAGTATATTGTGCACATTGTTGTGTGGCGCTGCATCGGGGGAGGGGCTTCATCACTGCTCTGAGCTGTGCGCGATATACTGACACTGAGGAGGAGAAGCTGATGGACAACACTTGAGCCGCCATTGAGCCCCTGAAGGCATGAGGCAGTGTTTGAGGATGTCTCCGGACCCTTGCTGTCTATGGAGGATCAGGAGCTCTCGCATTTCAAACATCTTCAACTCTGACTGAGGATGAACGAAGCTCTCGGAGGAACGACGTGTCTTAATGACAGACTCTTCATTACTGGGTGAACTGGCCCTTCAGTCTACTCATAGATAACAAATGCCTGCTGACCGTCAGACTCGATGATGACGATGGTGAAGAACTTCACGGCGCCGTTGATGTCACTGAACCAGCTGCAGTTGAACTGGAACAGTATGGTGGATTTGGTGATTGTAACCGCGTTCTCATCAATCCTAGCCATGGGCAGTGGTGGACCTGATATAACAAGAACCCTATTTAGTAAACACCATTGTCAGAAAGGGATCTCATTGTGGATTTTAGTGTACGCCATAACTCACGGACGATCATGGTCACCACGTTCTCCTTCACCGCCCTCGC